CAATTGGCCCCAAGATTCCTTTTGATTTAAAGAGATAGGCAGGGAAATTTTTATTACCCTCCCACCATAAGGTTGAAGTAACTTCAGCCAAGAGATATCAAAATGAGGTGACCAGTTGAGTTTGTCTATTTTTTTATTCCTATTTAATTGCACAGAACGTGCCAACAGATACTTTACATTTTTAAGGCAAAAAGCTGGACCTGGCCTAAACCAAATGAACTGTTTATCTTTATTTAGTTACTGATATAACTCAAGATTTATAGAAATATGAAAGTCACTGTTAATGTGTCCTGCATAAATTTGGAAAATCTGAGACAAGTTGGAGCCTCTCTTTCCCTAAGCCCCAAGTTTTTAAACCCTTTTTGTGTAGCAGACCATAAGACACAGTTGAGTAACTGCTTTGTTTTCATACATCCATTTAGAAACTCAAAAATAAAAAAAAATGTCAGGTAATAGATGAGTATAGCAAAACGGAATTACATAATAATGGTAATAAATGCAATTTATGTTCCCAGTGGAAAGGCTCGATGTTAAGTGGTTCACTTGTGACTTCCGTGAATCATCAGATATATAGTTCCCGAGGGGGGAGTGAGAGAGTTTATCAATACTTGTCAGAACGCAGAGGGACCTGTATATTGCGAGTGAGTAGGTAGGTGATGACTGTGATAGATGGTAAAGTCGATGATAGCTGTTTTATTGTGTAAGGACTGCTGTGTCAGACATTGCTTTATTTTAAAAGGGCATTCCTGGTCCTTCCCCAGCTTATGATATGCTTTACAGGACATCGTGAAACACCAGTTTAGAATACTCTTAGCTCTCACATATCCTCCCCAGGCCCCATCCCCACAATGCCACTTTAGAAAACAAAGAATCTAAAAATATTACGATATATTCCCAGAAGTAGGGTCACTGAACAAAATGAATTGACCAGCAAAATAAGACCCAAAGAATAGAGGCATGGAACAGACTGACATACCTCAATGTGGGGTTAGGCGGGAGGGGGGCAAGAAGAGATAAACTGAAGAACTTATATACTAATAGGCATAATCCATGGACATGGGCAAAAGGGTAGTGAAGACCTGGCGTGGTTAGGGGCTGGGTGGAGGGAGGGGAGAGGAATAAGGAGAGAGATAATACTATCAACAATAAACATCTATTAAAATAAAAATATTAAATTCACAACATATATCTGTTAAAAGGCCAGAGTCTGGCCTTCATTCTAGGGGAAAAGAAATGGAATTCAGCTCAGTGATAACTCCTGCCAAGTTCTGGAATGATCAGCTTTGACACAAAGCATTCAGGTTGAGAGAAACATAGTCAGTCTGAATTTTATAATTGGGAAAGTTGAATTCAAATCTAGGTTTCATGTCTCTATACTTCACATGCTTTCCATAGCCTTCAGACTCTCATTATAAGATCATTGCGTATTTTTTACAATTCTTGGTTTTTAGGAAATGTACAAGTGCAACCATCATAGAAGGTTGTTTTCCATAGGACTTTATTCTTGGGCTATTTGGGAGTGAAATCATCTATACATGTTGATTGTATAGTACTAGGTACTCTTTAGGTGTGTTTTCTTTTCTTTGCAAAAGTGATGTATAATAATTAGAAGTACACACTCTAGAACCAAGCTGTGCCATGCCAGCATAACCAAGAGTGAACCTGAGGGGGAAAGAGGGGTGAAGGATTGAAAAAAAGACAGACAAGAGAATACAGCTGGGGCTTGGTGGATCTCCTGTGCCTGGATGAGGACACAAAAGATCCAGCCTGCAAGCCAATGCTTTCTTTTATATTCTGATTAAAACAAGGGTAGGTTAACATATCTACAAATGTTCTTGTTTTGGCAACTCTTGCTGCACCTCCCACAGGCAGTAGGAAGGAATAATGGAAGAAGGTCAGGCTTAATTATGCTAGGAAAGCTCTGCCCTCCAGGCTGGGACTTGCTTGTGTCCCTGCCCCAGGTAAGCCCGAGGCTTGACCCTAGAGCCACTCCCTATACCAACCAACCTGGCTTCAAATTCATTTGGCCATGGGTGGTGCCACCTTGAATACCCTTGGTGCCCAAACCTTAGAGTCATTAAGGGTATCAAATGAGTCGTTATGGGTATCAAATGTAAAGTTCTTATGTCAGAACCTGGCTCATAGCATGTGCTATAATATTTCTTTTGTCTTATTAATCATATTTCCCTGATGAGGAATAAAAAACAGAGGAAAACTATGTGTGTCACAAATTAATGAGACTCAAGACAAGCTGAACAAGTTTTGTCTCCCACCATTGTCCTTCAGGATATAGCCCCTAAAAAATAAGATATTTTAAATATAGTGCATTGTTTCGATGTCCTTCCTGAAGATTGCTTGAAGTCTCTAGACTATGTGTAACTCTAATCCCATTAGTATTACTAAAAAACTATATATGTTATGCTTAATACAACGCCCTCATATTTTACTTAATTAGCATATATTTATTGAGCTTCTACTATATACTAGACACTCCACTTGTTACATTAAAGAGTACAGAAATAAGTAATACTGCTCCTGCTTTAAAGTTCTGTACTCAGTTGTACTGTACCAAACACCACCATTGATAATGACATGCCTGGATTGATTGTCTAAAACCCATGTGACCCAGAATCCATTTCCCAGTACACATGGCTTATTTTTACAATTGTAAAGAAAAGGGAGAGGAGCGTTATTAATATTTATGACTTAAGGTCAGTGTTCATAGAACATTGATAGAAAACCATTTTGAGAGTTGCATATGATCACAAAGGAAAAAGCGATTGACCACTACCTTCTCTATGTAAGTATATCTTTATTTTAATGTTTTACCTAAAATTTTGGTAATTTGAACAAGATATGCCCCCAAACAAGCTATTGTGCTTTTACCAGTCTTTTAATCTTACAATTATTATTAAAAATGAAATCGGACTAGTTTCTTTCTGAAATCTCTGATATAGCATGGCATTATTTATATAATGATATGATACTAATATCTAACATTTAACTTTCCATATGCTGGATGCTTTGCTCTGCATTAAAAAATCATTCTCTATAAACCTTCCATAAATTATAAGAGGGATTAATATTTACTAACATTTACGAAGAGAAAAATGAAATTTATTGGAAATTAAGTAACTTATCTAAAGTAAATAATAATAATAAATTTAAGACCTAGATTTAAATCCAGGTTTACCTGACATCAAAATCTGTATGCTGAAGCACTAGTTGATATTTCTACACATCATATCCACTTAGAAAACAGTCATAATTGAGACCACTAACAGTTGCAATAAAAATTTATTTAGAAAACAATGTCCTTGTATAGCATTTTTAAATGTTGATTTTTAGAGGGATAATCAAATGTGTAGAAGGCAAACATATTGATTGTTATATCTACCATTTTTAAAAGATGACATTTGAGACAGGTTATCAAAGATCCCTGTACCCAGGGGCTCCTTTCACCACTTAAAATAGAGAACTTCAGGTTTTTCACAGTTCTGCAGAATGCTTTCTATTGTTGTCAAATCACAAAATCTATTTTATGCAGGAAAAAAGGAAAAGATTAGACTTCTGTGGTGAGAACCATTGAGCAGAAATGTCAATACATTTTTCTATTATTTCCCAGGCTTGACCTGTTAGCAAATCTAAATATCAGCTCCTGGGGAATTTCAGGAAACACCTTGTGTATAGAGTATTCATTATTCACAATCTCTCTAACATATGCTCTGATATTTCCACTTTTGAGCTTTAAAAAAAAAGTCTTTCCAGTCAAAACACTATTATATTAGTTCTATAATATTCACTATTTACTTTTGGGCCCAATTTGCATTATATCCTATTTTGCATCTATACTGAATAGTGAGTATCTTCCCAGCATGCCCTAACTCTTGATCCTGTTTTCTTCATGGGTCCTGTTCTCATCTTTGCTACTGCAGCACTCCTTAAGATGTACAGCCCCACTTCACAGCCACACAGCACCTACATACTGATCACACCCATTTCATCCTATTCCCAATTCTCATGTTTCATTGACTTCTGTTTTTAACCATTTTGTGACTTTTCATAAACCCCCTTCAGACTTTTTTGAGTAATTGCTGGACCCAGCCCTACAAAGTTCTGGAAGAGAAACTGAAGAACCACTGTCAGCACTAGATTCCTAGATACAATTATGTTATACTTTCTGTTTAATATGTATTCCCTCTTCTCCACTGAATGTAGATTTCTTCCCAGGAGTATCATTTAATGAGTGACCTTCTGCAAAGAAACTAAGAGTATATATATTATCAATGAACACATTTTAAAAAGTGCAGCCCAGTCAGTGTGGGTCAGTGGTTGAGCATTGATCCATGAACCAAGAGGTCACTGGTTCAATTCCTGTTTAGGGCACATGCCCAGGCTGTGGGCTTGATCCCCAGTATGGAGTGTGCAGGAGAAGGCAGCTGATCAATGATTCTCATCATTGATGTTTCTACTCTCTATCCCTCTTACTTCCTCTCTCTCTAAAGGTCAATATAAACATTTTTAAAAGTTTACCACCTTGGTTCTTTCTGTATTCAGTGTATGTTTGATTCTAATGTTTTATGTGCAGATTGAAAAGAGAAGAGACAATTATATCCTAACATTAGTATATGAAGGAGATATTTGACACAGGAGTAGGTTTCTTGTCTTGTAAATGGAACTTTTGTGGCATTTTAAAGCAAATAAATCAAGTGTCTTTTTAATTTCTATATATTAGAAGAAAATGCCTGGATTCAGACAAAATGTACTCATTTTCACTTCTTCCAATGGAAGAACAAGCTTCTTTCTTTCCTAGGAATAGAAATTTTATCATCTTAAACATATATTTTATTTTTAAATCAACCAATGATTTTTATCTTTATTTGTGTTAGACAGGAGTATGCTCTCCCAAGAAGTGCTTATTAGATTTGTATTGTAACTTCTTTTCTTTGATATGAAGAACATGGAAGCACCAAGTTTCATTTTTGTCTGTTTGTTTGCAGCGTGGAGACGATCAATGATGGAAACTTTCACATTGTGGAGCTACTTGCCCTGGACCAGAGTCTCTCCCTCTCTGTGGATGGAGGGAGCCCCAAAATCATCACTAACTTGTCAAAGCAGTCCGCTCTCAATTTTGACTCCCCACTCTATGTAGGAGGTAAGCACTCTTCCAAATCCAGTGTGTTTTGATGTGCGATTGTCATCAAAGCCTGATTCTGAAGTTGCTGGTGCCTGGTCCCATGGTCATTGACTAGTGCTGATCCATCCCTGAAAGACAATAAGAATAGAAAAGGAAGAGTCCAAATAAGATGTTAAGGGACCATTCATAATCCCAGCTCTGGTTTTAACTAAATGGGTCATTGGGGTGGAGAAGAACATTGATATTTTTGTGTGTCTATCACATGCTAGGTGAGTTACACATTAAGGGTTGGCAGGGCAGATGATTTGGGCTTGGAGTGATAAAGACTCTAGACTTTATTTTAAGCAAGAAGAAGTCAGATGAGTATATATGTGAGAAAGGAAATATCTGCAAAATTCAGAAGGAGCTCAGAGGAGAGGATCCACAAAAGAGAGAGCTTCCACTCTTGCCTCTATCTGGAGGAGCCAACGTAAACTGAAGACATAGAATTTCACATTTCAGGCCAAGAAGCATGTGATGTTGAACTGAATGAAATCACATTGGATTGAGTGAGGCAGATTGATAAAATTAACATACTTTACAGATAAATAAGCTAAAGCTTTTCAACGGGCCAATGTAACTGATTTCTTCACCAGGACAGGTAATTTCACAACGTTTGCCTTCAAAATAGTAGTAACTGTTGGCTGCTGCCCAATGTCCTCAACCCCTCAAACCCTTCCCAGACAGCTTTGTTTGGAATTGTCCCGAATGTCCAGAATACTTTTATTTTTAATAATTTCTGCGATAGGAAATCTTAGCACCTAGATAGAAAGTCAAAAGTCTTTGGTTCCATTCTGTAAATATTTATTGAGCATCTCCCATGTGCTGAAGGCTGGGTTATTACATTTGCCAGGAATATAGAGTTGAAAAAGAATCTCTTCTGCGCTCACAGGCATTGGGAAGGCAGACACATCTTCAAGTAACCAAATGCCTCCCCTGTTAAGTCTGTGCAGCAAGTTGACTGATGTAGTTGCTTCATGGCAATCACAGCTATGAGATTCATTAAAAGACAGAGCCTTCCCTTTGGCCTGGACTAAGTTAACAGTTATTGCCTTGGGATGGACAAGGCAAGTCACAGAGGCATCTGAGATGTGAGAGAAATTATATTTGCTAAGCACATACTATGTGCCCAATGCAATGCTTCTTTGACAGTCTTATTCTTCAGAGACTTTAGGAAGTATAATAGATATGCTTTTTCTTTGCTTTACAATCCCAAAGAGACAGTTCCAGGGACTTCATAAATCTTGTTCAAGTTCACAAAGCTATGAAGTGATTGACAACTCATTCAAGTCCAAGTCTGTCTGACCCCAAGCCACCTGCACTGCCTGTCAGTTACTAGCATAGAGTGAAAAGGGAGGCAGTCTGCATGTGCAGCTTTTTGTTCATTTCTGGATTTGTTCTTCACTTCATATCATTATGCTTCCATTACCAACCATTTCATTCAATGTTTTTAAACCCCTTTAGAATATGGTGGAGTTCTGGGGAGAATTACAGAATCAGAGTGCTTGGGTCAAAACATTTTTCAATAAAGGAAAACAAAAAGTTTTAAATTCCTAACTAAAACTGGTAATCCTTCTGAGGGTAAAGGGCCCGGCAGTCCATCCAGGCCTTAGGGGGACCACTTTAATCCCCACCTCACTGCCAGAGAACAGAGCAGACTCATTTCCTTCCAACTTGAGTGCAAGGGTAATTCAGATTAAAGAAATACAAGGCAATGGTAGGACCACAACCCTGAATGCTGTTTGCAAAGGCAGTAGGACCTGGGGTTAGCCAAGGAGAGCCAGGTAAACAAGCTGTCCTCTCTCTCCCAGTTTGAAAGTAAGAGACACACCTCAATGATGACACCATGTCTTGGGCCCTTTGCAGGAATATTCTCTATCAAAAGAGGGAGGCATGCCAAAACTGGTTTGGCTCAGTGGATAGAGCATCAGTCTGTGAACTGAGAGGTCCCAGGTTCAGTTCCAGTTAAGGGCATGTACATTGGTTGCCGGCACATCCCCAGTAGGGGGTGTGCAGGAGGCAGCTGGTCGATGTTTCTCTCTCAACAAAGTTTCTAGCTCTCTATCCCTCTCCCTTCCTCTCTGTAAAAAAATCAATAAAATATATTTTTTAAATTAAAAAAAAAAGAGGGAGGCATCCTTCCCTTCCTTTAGGTCATTAGTTGCCCAGGATATAGACCTTGCTCAATACAAAACAGTCTAATCTTGACACTTTTCTGTATATTAACCCAATCAGAACATGTAGCATTGCCTGATGGGATTAAAAACAATAGTTAAGACCTGCACATAAAAACCCTAGATGTGTCACAGTCTCCTGATGCCACAGAGGAAGTCAGCTTTGACACTTGATCCCTATGTTGTTATTTTAAAACACAGAGATTATTAAAGCTAAAACCATCTACTAAGTTGTCAGTTGATTGATAGATTAATTGACCTCCATTTACAGCCCATGGCATGGAAGAAAGGCTAAAAGGAACAACAACACAGGGATCTACTTCTGTTTATCAATTAAGATCTAGTTCCCTAGTCAGAACTGTGGCAGCTCTGCGAAACGTTGACTCCGAATACTTCTTTATTGTATGATGTCCTATTGAAAGTAAATATCTATGTGATGGATCAGCATTTACAAGTTACTATGATCAAAGCTGGACTTTTTACAGTTGTTAGCTTTGGGAATAAAAGGAACGCACTTCCTAATTGTCCCTGCTGAGGAACATCACCAGTCAGTATTTAACCTTGACACATGCACATATGGACATTGAAATCCACACATATGTGATGGACAGATAAGTGTAAATTAGAACTTACCTTATAGCAAGGAATTTCGTGTCATGGTACTCTCCTGGAAATGGTGGGCTTCATCCTTCTGACCTGGCTCTACACTGTAGCCCAGTCTCCAAGGCCAGATGGACCTAGACTATCGGTAAAAGCCTGAACTCATGAAACTTCAAAGCCAAGTGCATAATTCAGTACCCATCAATGTGTGATGGGAAACCACTTGCATCGGAATCACCCGAATTGCAGGTTAACATTTAAATTCCTGCATGACACACCTTCCTGCTGAGTCAGAATCTCAGGGAGGGGAGAGAAGAGGGTTGGGGAGCTGCCTTCCGGGCATGTGCTTCTTGTGGTTATATATGACCAGCTTGGAAACAACTGTTTTAGTCCATCCATGTTAGAGATGAGAAAACCAAGCCTAGACCGGACCAAGTGCATTCAGAACCACCAATAAACACTTCAACCTCTACTTTATGATGCTGTGCACTTAGCTTCTGACTCTGGCTCCTTTGAAAAGGGAAGATGATGATGCCATGAGGCAGGGCCCAGGGAGTACTCAGGCTCTTGGTCTTTGTCACCGTTGAATCCCCTAGGAAGTGAGAGCCAGGGCTTTCTCCCCTTGAATTCTCCAGCCAGAAGCTCAGAGTCCAGGCACAAGGAGGACATGAACAGCCAGGGGGAAGTCAGCTGCTCTGCAAGCCTCCACTGTCCTCCCCTTCTACCACCACAACCTGGACGGTTGCCTCCTGTAGGATCTCATCCAGGAGCTATTTCAGAGTCTGGCTTAGGCTGTGGAAAGATTCCTCTGTGTTGCCAAATGTGGGTTACTCCATGACCGTCACTAGTGGAATGAATATATACAAAGATTGCTAATTCTGTGTGTGGAGGAATTTCTTCTGTGTTTCCAATGTCTTGGAATAGAATGGTTTCACTCTCAATTAGCAAGAAAAACAATGATGTGAACGAGGTGCTGTCCTGACAGGAAGCATGGCGAGTGTCTGAGGCACTGGCATCCAGGGCTGTGCTCCGGATGTTCTGAGTGGGGACCTGGATTAGTTGCTGGCTTAGCATTTGGCTGGACCAGGGTCACAGCCACTGTGAACCGCAAGCTCTTACCCTCTGAATCCAATGGACTAAGCAGTGAAGAGACATTGCAGAGGTTCATCTCATCAGCCTGACTCTAACTCAGTCCTGCTGGGTGGCAGTGAGTAGACACTTAGGTTCTGGGTCTTTCGTCTTTAAGAGGCAGGATTAGTCAGAGATTACTAACCTTGCCTTGTGGAACTCTAGGCTTCCTGGGGGTGTGTCCAGGTAGAGGGGGTGAGTGTGGAGAGGAGAGAGAGCACTACCCCCTCCCCTTCCCCAATCCTGCCTTTTGGGAACAGTAGCTTAGCTTTTAGGTTTTATATATGTATGCCTTTGGGTCAGGTTTGGTTTGAAACAAATATTAAAAATTGAAGATTGACCATCAGTGAACTAGGTCTTTTTCCTAGTTGTACACTAAAATTGTATTTTCTTAAATAGAGAAGCAGAGAACACATGTCTCCCCCAGCTAGTATGGCTCAGTGGTTGAATGGTAAACTATGAACCAGAAGGTCATGATTCAATTCCCAGTCAAGATACATGCTCCATCCCCAGTGTGGAGCATGCAGGAGGCAGCTGATCAGTGATTCTCTCTCATTGTTGATACTTCTATCTCTCTTCCTCTCTCTTCCTTTCTGAAATTAATAAAAAATACCTTAAAAAAAAGAAAGAAAGAAAGAAAGAAAGAAAGAAAGAAAGAAAGAAAGAAAGAAAGAAAGAAAGAAAGAAACACACATCTCTTCTTCCTCCCCATCCTGCCCAGAAAATAGGATCAAGGAGGTCTGGGCTGAGGTCCCAAGCAACAGTATTTCTTCTAAGAACCCATGGGATTCCAAAGTGCATCCAGGTTGAGACCACAGGACCGATGCTCATGCCTTCAGTTTCTCCTATAGACTGTGTCCCACAGACTGCCCCCCTACAGGAAGCACTAAGAGCATCTGGTGGTAAATGGCTGAGGAGTCCCCAAAGAGCCTGACCTCTGACTTGCTGTCCCTCCCCAGGCATGCCCGGGAAAAACAATGTGGCTGCCGCCCTGCGCCAGGCCCCCGGGCAGAATGGCACCAGCTTCCATGGCTGCATCCGCAACCTCTACATCAACAGCGAGCTGCAGGACTTCCGCAAGGTGCCCATGCACACCGGCATCCTGCCCGGCTGCGAGCCATGCCACAAGCAGGTGTGCGCCCACGGCACGTGCCAGGCCAGCAGCCAGTCTGGCTTCACCTGCGAGTGTGAGGAAGGATGGACCGGGCCCCTCTGTGACCAGAGGACCAATGACCCCTGTCTTGGAAATAAGTAAGTTTGGGCTACTTGTTAGAGAAGCATGCATATGGCAATCCTCAAAGCGAACCCTAGGAAAGGGAAGGAAAAAGGAAGGGAAAAAGAGAGGGAGGGCAGGAGTCAGCCCCTTAAACTGTCTCCATATTTCTTCTATCTTCCTCCATCCTCCTCTCTGCTAATGCATCGTCATTCCTGCGTTCCTCTCTGCAGATGCGTGCATGGCACCTGCTTGCCCATCAACGCCTTCTCCTACAGCTGTAAGTGCCTGGAGGGCCACGGAGGTGTGCTGTGTGATGAAGAGGAGGACCTGTTCAACCCCTGCCAGGCCATCAAGTGTAAGCACGGGAGGTGCAGGCTGTCTGGCCTGGGGCAGCCCTACTGCGAATGCATCAGCGGATATACCGGGGACAGCTGTGACCGAGGTAAACCAACCAGCTGGGCACCTCTGCGTCTTAGGGAAGCAAGAGGGCCTTGTCTTTGAAAAGAGAAAAAGGGAGACCATGGGAATGAGTGAGGCGGGGAGTGAGAGGAGAAAGGCCTGGGTTTTGCAGGACTTGTAGATGCTGCTGCTGGTTGATTTCCCAGAGTCATGAGGGCAGCAGGTGGGAGCTATCCTAATCTTGGGCGTCAAGATCGTACCTGCCTTCTGCTGTCTGCTCCCAAGCTGATCTGCTGTGAAAACCCTCCCTTCTGCCTTATGTGAAAGCACACCTAACTGTACTCCTTTCTCACCTTTCTCTGATGTTCTTACCCAAATGTATTACCAGTTTGTCTCCTAGCACAAAGAGGGAGCTCATAAAGAGGCTGTAGCGTGAGGATAAAATCACCTCTGACAATTAGAATTTAAATGGTTTGTCCCAGCACATCCTGCAGGTGCAAGGGATGGGTGGGGCTGAGGTGCTGGTCCACCCCTCTCCTCCCTTGTGCCTGTGGGACCAGCTTGCCCTGGCCTCCATCTGGCCGGGATCCCACTGAGTGTATCAGAGGGACCAGGCAAGGGGAACATGCCCAGGGAAGCTCTGAACAGATGGCTCTTTTTGAACCCGTTCCTACCAGGGTAATTTATGAAGCTCTTGGAATGTTCTTTGTATCCAGTCACAGGCTAAATAATATGGAGCCCCAGGTCTAATAAATTAAACCGCAGAATACTCTCGGAAACATCTCCCTGCTGTAAACAGATCCACATGGTGGAAGTGTAAAAACAGAAGAGGTACATTGTTGCCATAAATGAAAAGGGCTAGGGGCCCAGTTTCTTGTCAGTCCCGTGGTCATAGTAGTTACAGCTCACACGGACAGTATTCATTGAGAATAAAGGCCCCACCAAAGCTGGTTTGGCTCAGTGAATAGAGTGTAGGGCTGAAGACTGAAGGGTCCCAGGTTCGATTCCGATCAAGGACATGTACCTTGGTTACAGGCACATCCCCAGTGGGGAGGGTGTGCAAGAGGCAGCTGATCTATGTTTCTCATCGATGTTTCTAACTCTCTATCCCTCTCCTTCCTCTCTGTAAAAATCAATAAAAAATATATTTAAAAAAAGAAAATAAAGGCCCCAAGAACAGCAGGCCATGCCAGCAGTCCATCTATGCCCTGGAAGTATAACTGACAGTGGCAGGAAGGGACAGGAAGGAGAGGCGCCCCCTGCTGGCTCCGGGGCGGATCCGCACTCCCTCTGGGGGGACTCACAGCTTGTGTGCTCTGTGTTCTTCCCTAGAAGTCTCCTGCCAGGGGGAGCGGATCCGAGACTATTACCAAAAGCAGCAGGGCTATGCCGCCTGCCAAACAACCAAGAAGGTGTCGCGGCTGGAGTGCAGAGGCGGGTGCGCGGGCGGCCAGTGCTGCGGGCCCCTGCGGAGCAAGCGGCGGAAATACGCCTTCGAGTGCACGGACGGTTCATCCTTCGTGGAGGAGGTGGAGAAGGTGGTCAAGTGCGGCTGCAGCAGGTGTGCCTCCTAACTAACCGCCTCCCCCGGGGGCTGCCGTCTCGCAGCTGCTGTCTCCTGCTTGGCCACGCTGGACTCGCCAATGCTTCCTGAGTTGAAATATATTGTAAAATACAGAACAGGCTTATTTTTATGATGAGAATAAAGACCTTTTTTCCCCCCCTGCATTTGGAAGAAAAATAAATAGCAATGCGTGAACCACAGCTTCCCCGACCCCAGAGGAGTGGGAAGGGAGGTGATCCGGAGGCATGGGAACAGCGATGGGGACCAAGCACATACCCAGGGAGCCGACCACGAGCCTGAACTTGAACTTGCCCAGAGCACAGGCCCCTGGGCCCTCCTCCGAGTCGCTGCGGCCCATGGGGACCAAGCACATGTGTGAGTGAGGATGCAAGGTGGAGCCCAGGATTCACAGATAGGACGACAGATGGATGAGAACTATTTTGTGCAACATAGAGGGTCTCCGGGAGACCTGGGTCCCATTTGTGAGAGACAGGATGGGGGCGCTAAAATGTCATCGTCTTTTTATACAAATCGGCATGTTAGCACAAGAAGCACACAAGAGTGTTTATCGACCGTTTTCCAGTATTAATTTCTTTTTTTTTTTGTAATATAAACGATAAAGGAGATGATAAAGAACCAATAGATTATTGATAAATAAATTAGGAATAATATGATTTTTTTTTTTTGCGTCTCTATGAGTTCTAAACAGCCCTATACAGTATTCTGTTCTCCTGAGAAATATTTATTGTATCCAAGTACATTGTACGTAACACGGTAGGCCCTCCTTTTGCTGTTTCTTGATGCTTTAATATATATTAATTTATAATTGTCCTGATATTTTTGTACATTTTTCAAACTTAAAAAAAAATCAGGATGTTTTTGGCAATAGTACTAACATAGGGTAATATCTGGGGATAAAGATGTGTGGGTCTGTTTGTTTACTGGGACATCTAACCACTGGTGTCCCCGACCTACTGGCCTCACTCAGGACACCCGCAGAGCCTTGTCAAGTCCATGGGGGAGATGGTCCTTGTACAGAGAGTGGCCACTGCAACCTGTCCTCACAGGACAGAGATGGTGTGTAGCAAACGACACTAGAAAGTAGGTCTGTTACAAATAAATATGTCCTTGACTTTCTGGGCCCTTTTGGAGGGTGGAGGGGCAAAAGAAAAGACTGTAATGGCAAGAACTGTGATATCCTGCCCCCCCCCCCAAACAATAAAGCTCCTTTTATTACCCTCATGCTCCCATGTTAACATGTCTGCTGCTAAATTATAATGTAGAATTGAGAGTGATTTATAGTGGATTGTGCTCTTCCCTCCTCAGAGTCCCAGGGTACCCTGTGAAGATGCAGATGTTTCTTTCCAAAAGCTCTTTTTACAAAGACAAAAGATGTACGTGTGTGATTCGGTGTGCTCTGTCTTTCTCCGGACTAATATCAGTGACACTACTGATGTTTGTAAATTAAACAGATATTTACTGCATTAACAGCTTGGTGAATTTCTTAGAAACTGCACAATGTTTAGAGTCCTAGTCTGAAGAATCCTTAGTCATAGCGATTCAGAAAGAACAGAGAAGAGAACCTGTACTTTCTGTTGTCAGAAGTTGGCTTGCAATTAGCATAGAGTTAACTCTGGAGACTTGGGAATGACCACATGGCAGAGATAAGTAGAAGGACACATTCTATGCTAGCAGAAGTGCCTATTCCATTCATTTCTTCCCCAAACAGTACAAGATGTAATCTAAGGAAAGCACAAATGGTATTTTTTATTTTGTTCATTTTTTCCTTAATTAGAACCAGACAGAAAACAATGAAAGGCTAGGACTCCCTTTCCTCCAGAGCACTCTCAGAAGGAGCTAGTAATGGCGAGGTCCCATCCAGAACAGGGAAATAGCATCATCCTAAGAAGCTTTCTTCTTTTTCCTGTAAAAATACCATCTCTCTCTCTCTCTCTCTCTCTCTCTCTCTCTCTCTCTCTCTCTCTCTCTTTCTCTCTCTGTCTCTCTCTCTCTCTTCTCTCTCTCTCTCTCTCTCTCTCTCTCTCTCTCTCACACACACACACACACACACACACACACACACACACAGTATCTCACAGACACAAATTGTTTAAATATGTATTCAATCTTGTTTTTAATGTCTACATTTTAATGATAAAAATACATAGTGAAAGTAAGACTTTCTTTTTAATTTCCATCGGTTGCTTCTTTTTTCCCCCCAAGAATTGTGGTTCATTCATTAAGCAAAGAACATATGGGATAATGATATGGCTTAGGTTTGTGTTTATGAGTATATAGCTACTGTTCTTTATATGCCAGGCACTATGCCAAGGACTTTCTCTAGGATTCCTCATTCAACGCTCACTGCAAACCTACGTATGGGGCTGTCATGCTCCCTACTTTACAAAGGCATAAACAGCTAGAACAGAGAAGCTGCAATCCTGTGTCCCTATTCAAGAGATGCAGGCAGCAGATCAGTAACTACAACCCTCCACTACGGTTCTTTTAACCCTTTGAGCCTCATTTCCAAAGCTCAATTTTTCTCTCTCTTGATCATGTTGATTTAAGTCAATGGTTGGCAAACTCATTAGTCAATAGAGCCAAATATCAACAGTACAACGATTGAAATTTCTTTTGAGAGCCAAATTTTTAAAACTTAAACTTCTTCTAATGCCACTTCTTCAAAATATACTTGCCCAGGCCCGTGGTATTTTGTGGAAGAGCCACACTCAAGGGGCCAAAGAGCCGCATGTGTCTTGAGAACCGCACTTGCCGACCATGGATTTAAGTGATCTAGATTAGAGATGCTTGTTTTGTTTTTGTTTTGTTTTGTTTAATATATTTTATTGATTTTCTACAGAGAGGAAGGGAGAGAGATAGAGAGCCAGAAATGTCGATGAGAGAGAAACATCGACCAGCCGCCTCCTGCACACCCTCCACTGTGGATGTGCCCGCAACCAATGTACATGCCCTTGACCGAAATCGAACCCGGGACCTTTCAGTCTGCATAACGACGCTCTACCACTGAGCCAAACCAGTTTTGGCTGTTTTTGAGAAAAAACAAGAGAAGTCTTAGTAGTTTCCAAACTGTATTCTTTCCTCTTTCCTGCTTATAAAAGTACAAAATAGAATTCTGCTAGCCTAAGGTCTAGGCTGAGTTATCAAGTTTCCTAGAGGATTGTTTGCCCCATGATGACACTACATTCTCCACATGGGCCCTTCTTTGAGAAAATTCAATAGCCAAATAATTCCCAGTAAATGAGACAAATTAAGGGCAATTGTTCATGTTATTAAAAGGCTCCTCACTTTTAAAGCCTTGACCATAAGATTACGTTAAGAAGGAAACTAATTATTCTATAGAATTCCCAACAGATTGTAATCATTAAAAAATATTTTGCACATTTCAGAATCAAAGCTACTACTCGGAATAATGTACATTTGTAATTTGCAAAGATAGAGTGATTAAACATCTTTAATGTGTTTAGTTTTAAATTCTCACACTAGTAAGGCACCATTAGGAAATGCCATGGATATTTGACGTATTCAATTTAAGATAGGTTTATTAAATAACTATTTCAATCCTTTCAGATTTCTTGAAATTATTTCTAAGCAAGAATAGACTAACCCTGATTTTAAAATTTCTCTGAGCATTTTTTTTTCTTTCTTTCTTTTCTTTTCTTTTTTTTTTTTTTAAGCTTGCTTAGTTAGCAATTCTTTCTGAAGAAATGGTTGAAAAAATTTGAAATTGATTCAGGACTTAAAGGTTTTAAGCCTTATGGTATCATATGCCTCATAGTGTGACCATTATTTCAAAATGAATGTTTGTGAAAATATTTAGACTATAAAAAGTACATGAATCTTTACATAAAGTATGTAAATTACATAAGCTATTTTCATCTTAATCATGTCTGTGTCCTCAAATTTCATTTAAAAACACATTTTTATTTTCTATCTTCAATCATATGCAAGAAACTATGGTAAATTTTGACACATAGTTCAGATAAAGTAGACCTCTTCTGCCATTTTAATTTTTTTGTTAATCCTCACCTGAGGATATGTTGCCATTGCTCTTCAGAGGGAGTATAAGGAAGGAAGGGAGGAAGAGGAGGCGGAAAAAACATTGATGTGAGAGAGACACATTGACTGGTTGCCTCCCACATGTACCCCAACCATGAGTGGGGAGTGAAACTGCAATGGAGGTACATGCCCTTGACCTGGAATCGAACCCAAGTCCTTTGGATGCACAAGCTGATGCTCTAATCACTGAACTATACTGGCCAGTGCTCTTCTGTCATTTTAGAGCAAACACTCTATGCAGTTGGAATAGAGATTAGAGTAGGTAATAGATTTTATACAAATGACCATACTGATATTATTTTCAGATTGTGGCAAGGCCCTCAATGGAATTACGTTATAGAACATAGTATTACATAATATGAATTGAGAGGTCAGGGACTGCCTCTGTGGAGAGGTGACATTTAAGCTGAATCATAAAGAATAAAGTGGGATCTAGGATGGAGGCTGATGGAAGTATATGTGGGGGTCAAGGGTGGGGTCCATGCAGAGAAAGAGAAAGCAGCCTGTGTGTAGGCCTGAGTCGCTAAAGAACGCTCATGTGGTCCAGAAAACAAAAGAAGTAAGTCTGGCCAGAGTGAGGAATATGTTTATTTCATGTGTGGAATACAGTGGCTACTTTCTGCCTTTATACAGTCACTCCATAGAGTCCACATTTTTCTTTTGAGCATCTGTTTGCACTGAACTTTCAAAATGTCAACAGCAAAAAATGGATTTCCATTTTAAAATAACAACTGGTTAGTTGTGTTTAATGCAGTTCCCCAACTGCCAAATTAAATACATCTGAAGATACAGAAAATACAAACCCTTACAATAGCACTAAACCATAAGAATAATACATCTTGAATTTAAAGGAGTTTTCCTGAACTCAAAAGCCAATGAGGCTGTATTGAAATAATTAACTGATAGCCAATGCATGCTTTGAAAATGAAGTGC